AGTTTTGACGAGTTGCCAGGTGATCTCGACGGCGACCAAATATATGAATTTGGATTTTTCGAAGGTTATCCGATAGTTTTGCTGACCGATAAAAAAAGCGCAAAAATAGGTCAAGAACAAGCACAAATCACCAAACTCATAAACAAAGACTCTCCTGAAAATAATCCTTTAATATTATCGAAAACTAAAAAAAGGCTTGACCCATATTTGCCCATAACAATAATAATATTCGTTATCCCACCAATTATTTTATTCTTCCTGATAACAATCATTTATATATATTGGAAATTCTTTTTTGTCCCACGTAACATGAAAAAAGTGAATGTGCGATATATCAAGGCTTCACTGCATTGTCCGGACGAAGCAAAATGCGAAAATAGTTGTGGCACAAAAATCGACAAGTATTATGACAATAATGGTGACAATGACGACTCTCGACCATTTATTTCGTCGATAACCACAAGAATCAAATCACTGAAAATGAAGCCAACTTTGAACTTAGATCGGAAAACAACAGACTTTGAGCGTGGATTTGATTATGAGGATTGCGATGACGAATGCTGTGCATTTAATTCTGGTATTCCGTAAAGAAAGAATTGGTTGGTCGAAGAAAAGAAACAGGAATTTGGATTTTTTGTACTTATATTTTGTTTCTCGCGTCATTTATAGAATATTTTCCGAGGCTCAAGTAACGAGTAAATTCCAGCCAAATTTTATCACAACTTTTCTAAAAACGTGAAAATAAAAAAATAATTATCAAATATCAATTCATAAAGGGTTTCTTGGCATTCTTAATATATAGACTAAGAAGGCACACATTAATCGTAAAAATAAAAATAGCCTCTTATTGTACACAATAAGATGATGAATTTAATGATCTTTATTTATATTATTTTTAAAGCTAACTGAATGCGCCCGCTAATATTTTATTACCGGCTTGAAAACACTAATTGCGATGACTATCCGGAAAATCCGATCATTGATGCTCGATGTTAGCAAAGAGCAAACTAATAAATGACAAAATATAAAAGATTAAAGCATTCGGGTTATGGGGTTTTAGTTAAGATTTTATTGCATTCATTCGCGATAATGCAAGGAACATTTTTTGTTAGAATACAGGAAGTTTTAGCTTTTTCCGTTACACATCGATCTTGGCATCTTTTCAACTGTTAGGCAAATAAAGAGTATATACCAAAAACAAATCAAAAGCTTTTATGCGTAGAGAAGCTCGTTAATCAAAATAAATTGATATATCTATTTATATTATTATTATTATATTTAATTTTAATTTCTTAAGAAAGTCATAATTAATTATATATTCTGAAACTCTAATATCTGGATACTTTACAATTTTTCAAAAATTGATATCGTGTAGTGTATCCGGTCTTATTCATAGGGGGATTTGATTGGTTTACCCTTACTGATAATCGTATTTCAGCTGTTGGCCCAATTTTCAAATGGCATCCAACCAATAACAGCCGATCCAATCAACAAATAACAATAATAATGACCA